ACCAGGATTGTGTTGTTCATGGTCTACCTTATCTCTCTCTTTGGTTTTATTTAGTCAGTGTTTATCTTTAGCTGAATTAAAATGGTTATCTGTTTCTTAGAGCAAAAGAACTTATTGCAGGTAAAAATCAACATAGGGATTAGAATTGCCAAGGAATTTTGTCATGACTACCGATAAAAGTTTATGGACATTCCTCTGAGTCACTCACATGGAAGCAGGGTGCTAGGTTTTATTCTTATGAAGAAGTGTGTTCCCTGTCTAAAAAAGCATTGAGAAGATCTGTATTCTAAACTTAAACCTTTACATTGAGACCTCAGGCTCACAGCTGGTAGGTGTGTATACTGTGTCCATAGAGCAGGTAATCAGACTGCAGGGAGCAGGAAAGTAGGAGCCTGGAAAAGTAGAGCTCAACTGAAAGGGGTTAGTCTCTGGCTGGGAAACAAGCCATCCAGTTTAGAAATGAGGCTGAAACTGGCACAGGCACTAGCAACAGAGTACAGATTTGTGAGTTGTAATAGGGAGGGGATGGAATGTGCGAGGAAGAAGTTTGGGTCAGAGACACGTGGGACGTATGTGGGATCTGCTGTGTAAGCCAAAGGAGAATTTTGGGAAGTGAAGTGTTGAATGCAGAATTAAAGAAGTGATACCTATAACTTTTATCCAAAGGCTATAAATAGTGAGCTCTTGAATATGCAATTTTAAGTCTTCCATGAACAATACCTGCTCAACATATATTAATTCGTTGAGGGAGAGGCCCCTGTAGTTCAGTGGTGTAAATTAGTTAAGGAACTTTCTTCAGGGCCAATTAATTAAGGTTTTAGAGTTTGTTTAATCTTAGATTTTTTGAGGGTTTAATAAAGAGAATACACTTATCAGAAGATAGAGAAGTTTGTTATTTTTTGCTGTGGTCCCCAAACACTATTGTCTCCTTTTTACCTCATTTGCTCCTGATTCTGACAACAATTCTTTGATTCTACTAGAATCTACAATATACTGATCCTGTCATCTTTTCACTGTACTTTCATCTCATGTCCTAATCAAACTTTTGGCTGATAATCGGAATATAAGGAGGCAAGAGATGCAAGTAGCATATTGAGCCAAGTACCAAGCAAGCACTGACCACAAAAGGAATGTATAAAAGTGAAAAACTTGAGCCCTGGCCCCCAAAAAAGATGAGATGAAAATGAAAAGTTTATACTTTTCTTCTAGGTACCTATACGTGTATTTTTGGACCTATCCTCATTGCCCTGTATACCTTTAAGCAAGCCAGTGGAACTTTTAAGACTAGATTTAATGAGTCCGTATTTGAACACCTCTAACAGAGAAGTAAAGGTAAGGACAACATGCAAAATTATTACTTTTGTCATGTTCAGAATTATCTGAAATTGGGCAATATTTTGGGTACATACTTGTAGCCACATTCTTTCAAGGTTGTAACCTTATTTCTTTTCTGAATGTATAAAAATAGATTTGAATAAATATTAGTGCATAAAATAGGCTAATATTACAAATTGGGTGATTAAATGTATTTTTAAATAAATTGTATTTAAAATTTACTAAAAAGATGTTATCTAAGTCTACTCTATTTAGAAATTAATAATGACATTTTCATAATTTAATTTTCATAGGTCCACATTTGTAAATCTGGACAAGTGACAGCTATTCCATTTTGGTATCATATGTACCTTGATGAAGAGATTAGGTTGGATACTTCAAGTGAAGCCTCCCACTGGAAACAAGCTGCAGTTGTGTTAGAGAATCCCATCCAGGTTGAAATGGGAGAGGAACTTGTACTCAGCGTTGAGCACCACAAAAGCAATGTTAGTATCACAGTAAAGCAATGAAGAGCAGTTTCCAATGAAAACTGTTTAATTACAGCATCACATACAAAATTCTTGTCTTAATTAATGGGGATGTATAAAAATTTAATTCCTTCTAATGGTCAGATACTTAAAAAAATTGACATTAATAAAGCATATTTAAAAGACCCTAAATTAAAGAGCAGCATTATTATAAAAATATTGCTACAGACTTGCATTATTGAAAAGGATACATCATTAGTTTTTCAAATTAGGAAACTTTTTTGCTTGCTTTTACTAAGAATTTTAAGCCTAACCCTCATCATCATGTGTCAGCTATAAGTTGAGCAAAACTTTAACACATCTTGGCCTTTTTTTTCAAATCCAAACTTAGAGTTGGGAAACAGTGAAAGTAGGCTACTCCTGAAGATTGAGTGTTAAGGTTACCTGTAAATTCCAGGCTTACTTCTTTTAAATACTCAGTGTACTTCAGAAACACTCGTCAGGTTTTGTTTTAAAAATGCAAACTTGAGTAAGAATTTAAGTTGTAAACTAAATGTAATTAGGATTAAAGGAATTAGGGAATAAATAAATCTTCAGGAGGCAGCATTTTTCTTGGTCTACTTTAGCAGACAGAAAGTGATGGTAAATTCAGGAAGGTGATTTATCATGCTTTGTATATGCTGTGTGTGCTTTGTAAGTTAAAACAAAATAAGATGATTATGTGATGAAAGTTCAGATTTCTGTAGCAGCAAGTCGTATATGTATGATGCTGCAAGATGTATTTTGCTTTTAAGCACTGCATGTGAACAATGGCGGTACCATTGACCACACATACACAGTGCATGCAGCACTGTGGTCACCTTTGAAGTACTTGCCTTGGCCACCATCTAGTGACTGTAGTGATACTCAGCAGTGAGGTATGTGGTACTTTTTCTAGGACGAATTTGTGAACTTAATTGCCAGATCTCTTATAGTCATTCCAGAAAGAATTCATTCCAGTTTTGATAGACATTCCAGAAAGTTATAAAATTGCTTTGAAGGGTGGACTGGGCACTGGTGTTACTGCAGAGCTTCCCTATGGGAGTACCTCAAAGGAGATAGTAATGATATTCATTATTGAGCTATGCAGCACTTTTTCTAGGATGAGTTCATAAACTTAATTATCTGACCTTATATCTTTGATCCAAATTACCTATTCTTATTACCTCTATTATTACTATGCTGCCCAGCTTTATTTTTTAAAATAAATTTTATTGCTATTTTAAGGTATACAACATGAATCAAGTTAACATATTTATAATCTCAATTACCTTTTTGTCTGTCAAGAACAACTAAATTCTGTTCATATAATAGCATGGATCCCAAGTACAGTACAGTTTTATTACCTATATTCTTTATGTACATTAGTTCTCTAGACATGTTCATCCTGTCTATCTGCTACCTTGTATCCTCTGACCTACATCTATCTCCACACCTACCACTATTTTGCTATCTCTGTACATTTGATTTTTTTTCTTTTACATTCCACATATAAGTGACATTTTTTTCCTCTAGCTTATTTCACTTAGCATAATGTCTTCCAGGCTCATCCATGTTGTGGCAAATGGCAAGATCTTGTTCTTTTTTAGGGCTGAATAATATTCCATTGTGTATATACCACATTTTAAAAATCCATTCACCTATTGAGGGACACTTCAGTTATCTCCATATCTTGGCAGTGTGAATAGTGCTGCACTGAACATGGAAGTGCAGATGTCTTTATGAAGTGGTGATTTCACTTTCTTTGGGTATATGCCCATAAGAGGGAGATTGCTGTGTCATATGGTAGTTGCAATTGCTTCAGAACCTTCATACTGTTTTCCGTAATGGCTGTGCCAATCTACATTCCCACTAACAGTACACAAGAGCTCTTTTTTCTGCACACCTTCACCAACTCGTTGTCTTTTTTTTTTTTTGATAATAGGGATCCTAACTGGTATGAGGTAGTATCTTAGTGGTTTTGTTTTGCATTTCCTTGATTAGTGTTGAGCACCCTTTCATATACCTGTTGGCTATTTTTATATCATCCTTGGAGAAATGTGTATTTAGGTCTTTTGCCCTTTTTTTTTTTTTTTAAGAGACAGAGTCTTTATCGCCCTGGGTAGTGCTGTGGTGTCACAGCTCAGAGCAACCTCCAACTCCTGGGCTTAGGTGGTTCTCTTGCCTCAACCTCCTGAGTAGCTGGGACTGTAGGTGCCTGTTACAATGCCTGGCTAGTTTTTTGTTGCACTTTGGCTGAGGCTGGGCTCCAACCTGCCATCTTCAGTATATGGGGCTGGCACTGTACCCACTGAGCTACGGGTGCCACCCAGTTTTTAATAGGGTTTTCTACTATTGACTTGTATGAGTTCTCTATAAATTTTGGATATTAACCCCTTATCAGCTACACGGTTTGCAAATATTTTTCCCTAGTAGGCTGTTGTTTCATTCTGTTTCCTTCACTGTGTAGCTTGTAAATTTGTTGATAGTCCCACGTTTTTGATTTTGTGAACTGAGCTTTTGGTGTGATATCCACAAAATCATTGCCAAGGCCTATGTCTGGGAGCTTTCCTCCTATGTTCTCTTCTAGGGGTTTTATAATGTCTTGTTTTACATTTAGGACTTTTATCTATCTTGATTTGATTTTTCTGTAGATCTAAGTGTCCAGTTTCATTCTTTTGCATGTGGAAATCCAGTTTTCTTAGCAGTACTTGAAGAGATTATCCTTTTGCCATCGTGTCCTCTTGGTACTCTTGTCAAAAATTAATTGACTATGTATGCTGGGTTTATTTCTAGGTTTTATGTTTCTTTGGGTTGGTTTTATGCCAGTACCATACTGTTTTGATTACTGTGGCTTTATAATACAATTTAAAAACTGGGAATGTAATGTTTCCAACTTATTTTTCCTCAGAATTGTTTTGGCTCTTCAAGGTCTTTTATGATTCTATATGAATTTTAAGATTTTTTTTATTGTAGTTTGGCCAGGGCTGGGCCAAACTGCGACAAAATGTAAATTTCTTGGGTAGTATGGACATTTTAACAATATTTTTCTGATCCATGAAGATAGGCTATCATTCCATTTATTTGTAGCTTCAGTTTCTTTCATCAATGTTTTGTAGTTTTTAGTGTACAGATCTTTAACTTCGTTGGTTAAATTTATTCCTAAATATTTTTGATGCTAATTGTAAATAGAATTGTTTTGATTTTTTAGTTAGGTCTTTACTTGTATGTAAAACTATTATATCCTGCAACTTTACTACTGTAGTGAATTCATTTCTTAGTTCTAATAGTTTCTTGTAAATCATTAGGGTTTTTACATGTAGCCCAGCTTTATTTTTAATAGAAGTTGAATTTGTGATAGTGGACAGAATTAAGACTTCATACTATCATTATATATGAATGTGTATATAAATATGTAAAGCAAAGGCTCTGAGAAGTACTCATACTTGATTTTTTGGCATACTTGGCACTTTCTATATTTTATTTTCATTATAAAATGTTAGTCAAAGGGTTGCTGATTAGCAATTAGAGAACCCCCATCCTCCAAGTAATAAATTCTTCCCAAATAGGGCCTGCTTGTCTTCTGACAATGGTTATATGTATAATTAAGACCACTCAGCCAGGATTTATTTTTGCTGCCACCTTTAATAGCTCTGAGAAAAAGTAATTTTTTTTTTTACTGACTTTTTTGCTGTGCCTCTTTTTCAAGAATTTTGGTTAAAACATTAAGGGTTTATGTTTAAAGTGTGAGAGACAAAAAGTTACAGAAAACAAATGATAAATTATTATTTATTGAAAGACATCCTGCTGAGAAATAAAGAAATAATTGTTAGGTAAGTTTATATGGCACGTGATTATGATTAAGTTCCACTAAATCATATTTCTGTATGGTGCTTTTTGTTAATTCCAGAGCATAGTATTCATGCAGCGGTGGCAGGAATTACTGATTTTTTTTTTAAAATATCCATCCTCTTGATGAAGCAATGTTAACATCATGATCATTTAGTTGGAGTCATTTTCTATGATTTGAGTATGTAATACTCTAATGTTAAGAAGTGAAGTCTAAGTCTAGGAAATTTAGACTGATTATTTTTGATATACAAAACTTACATATATAAATCCAATAGCTGTACCTGGCTTTCACCTAGTTTTGTGTTGAAATTTCCCATCATTTATGGTTTGTCCCCAGCACAAAATCCTGAGCCATGGGATACCAGGTAATAATATGGTAGTAGCAGAGTTTGCTTTTGCATACTGTTCATGAATCCACGGATATATTTGAAGCTTTTTTCTCTTTAGTATCACCAAGCATTTCACCACTTATCTTAGATGCAGTAGGTGTAGTCTGGGGAGTCACAGTGTGTCCAAACCCTTGGTAGTGACCCATGGGTGAAGGTGGCATAGAAGAGGAAACGGAAATTGCATCTTGTGATGATGAAGATAACAAGCTTGTATGTTCATTCTGATCTTGATCCTCACGAAATAGTTTTTTCCTAGGATGTCCCCTGACTGTCCGTCCTTTAGAGTAATATAAAAGTTTCCATGTTAGTCAAAACCATTATAAACTTATTCTAAAATAAGCTCCCACTTCCCCCAGTCTCACCCCTCAAATTTGATAAGACTACACTGTGGTACTGCCTTAAACAGTCTTTCCGTAGGGGAAAGACTCTCTTAAATACCTACCTATTTGGATGAATTACAAGGCTAGTATTTGGGTGAATTAAAGGGCTAGTACTTACCAACATGCCTTACTTGTTCAGATATATCATCTCTAATATCTGAAACATCCCACATGGCAAGAAAGGAATCAAAGCATGAGCCCTCTTCTGCTTCTTGGACATATGGTTTGTATGAGAAAGTGTAGTGGTGAGCAATTGCAGCCAGGAACATCTCAATACAGATTATAAAGTCCTATGACAACAACGACAAAATTATAACTTATCTAGTTTTACAGAGGGCTCTCTCCAGGTACTTTTCAAAAGTCCTAAAGTATACACAGCTGTTACTTTCCTTTTCAGGTTATATTCATTTTTCTATTTTCTAAAATAATTATTTTGACCTCTTCCAAAGACAACAAAATGCCAAAATTTAAATGTCTTACACTACTTTGAGATATTTCTTAGCAAAGTACGTTGCATTCTCAATTCACCACCCAAGGCTAAGAGGAGAAATGCAGAAAGAGAAATGGGAGTAGGAATTACAAAATCCAGGTTTTATTTCTGGCTCTGCTATAAAACAGTAATTATGGCCAGTCTCTTCAGGGTTCCCTTGTTTTCTCACCTGTAAAGGGAGAATATCAGTAGTCCTAGACCCTGCATGTTGCCAGGTTTAATAAACAAAAAGCTTAACAAAGAGTCAAATTCTACTGAATTCAGAGACAGCGCTACTTACCTGGAGTCCTGTAGCCACAGCTTCCACAGTTTGCCATTCCCATGTATGCTTTTCAGAAATAACGCCAACTTTTACCAACAAAGCAATAACTACTGCTTGCCTATATGTTAGGAAAAGGTAAACGCCAAATCTATATCAAGCATAAAATGAGCAGTAGTTTTAAAAATATGCCATTTAAAAACATTAAACCCATTCAATAAAACCACATTCCCCTAAAAAAACCAAAAAACCAAAAAACCAAAAAAACAAAACAAAAAATCCCAGCCCAACCTGTGGACTACCACCACCACCACCCTTCTTTCACAGTGTATGTCTGAAGAAACTGTTATCTATATTAAATATATTAACTTGCTTTAAAAAAATCACCTACAATTTCATCAGATGAATTTTGATTATGTATTCTCAACACTTCAATACTTGGTTTATGCATCTTTTTTTGTTTGTTTTGAAAGTATGCACAAGCAATTATATTTTAAGTTCTTCCTTTACACAGACAATGTACAGCCTAACACCTGTACAACAGGAGTGAAAATGAAATAAGGGACAGATACTCTAATGTTGCTTACATATGTATAAATTATTCAGATTAGTTTTAAAAACAGTCACTTGAAACCAGACTTGTTTGCAGTACTAGAAACCAACTCAGAAAAAGGGTCCAACTCCAAGAAAGTCGTGCTGAGCATTTCGAGGAGTTCTAGGAATATGGCCCCAAGCTAAATTTAAATAGCCAATGATGAAATAGACAACCTTTTGTAGTTCTATATACAAGAATATTCACTTTAGTGGTGCTTATGATGATGAAAAAATTAGCAACAACCTAAACATCACTAGGAGATTGGTTAAAAAGTTATATTCACACAAGG